TGTGTGTGTGTGTGTGTGTGTGTGTGTGTGTGTGTGTGTGTGTGTGCAAAGTAAACCACAAATCAGACAGCAAAATCACACAGAATAGACGACCCACATTGTGTGGAATTTAATCTCTCTGCTTTGTCTTTGTCTCCACCTACTGGTTTCTGTGTGTAAGTGCAAGCTCGGATTTCCTGTCTGAAGAAAAGCTCGCTGATACAGGTATGTACAGTAGGGAATACTCCTCACTTGTGTCCCATCACTTCACAACACGTTTGCGGTTGTTTTTAGGTCTCGTTTAACTTAAAGGAGAAAGTGTTCATTTTTTGGTAATCAGTTCTGCACACAGTAACCTCAATGTCAAGAATCTACCTGTATGAACTTCCCTTGGCTGTTGGACAGGGGCATTTTCAGGGTTTTTGAAATGAAAAGTGGACAAGTGGAGACAAAACAAAAAGTGGCAGACCTAAAAAGGACAAACAGTGTGAAAGTCATGTTATTAATAAACAGGAAATTATTCAGCAAAAACCTGACCCGGGACCTGATCCTTATGTTGGTCTCAGTGGAAGGCTGGCTGTCACAAGGCCATTCTTTAAGAAGGGAAAAGTCTGAGGTGTGCTAAATTACACAAACCTGACTAATATCATACAAAGTAACAGGTTATATGTTATTACTGATTTGTAAATATTATCATCTGGTTGTTACACTGTTTTATTGTTAACAATAACTCTAAAGTGTGTAAATGATGGTCTTTAAAGTGGAGTGGTTTGTGTCCACATGAGGAGTTCCAGAGAGAGAGAGAGAGAGAGCCGAGAGGCTATAGCTGGGACACCAAGACAATTCTAAGAAAGGGGAGAAGAGAAACTGGTAAGTACAAAGAGTAATTTAGCATGACACTACAAGTCTGTATGCTAGCTGTTGATGAGGTAACGCAGAGCAGATATGCCAGTTATGTCAGCTCATGCTCCAGCAGTGCAGCTTGGAGGCCGTGTCTCACAGGAACATTAAGCCTGTCACTCACACACATCAGCACACAACAGGGTGATGGGGGAGAGTGAGAAAAGGGATGGTAAATCACACTGGTGGGATCGCAAAAAAAAAAAATCTTATTATTAAGTTGTTTTTTCCCTTGAATCTTTGATTGATTGGTGCCTAAGATACATTTCCCAAAACAATTCATATATGCAGCAAAATACTACAGATAATTGGATACTACGGATACCTTTAACAGTGTCTAAACCAGAGTGGTCAAAATGTTCGGTACCGTCAGAATCACAAAGTGAATATTTCTCCATGGGAGACGTAACCTCTGCTTTTGTCAAATGCTGATTTCAGGGTTTTGCATTCTACTACTACATGAATTATCTGCAGAGGACCCAAGGGCAGAACAAAAAAATACAGATTCAAACAAAAAAATGACCATTTATTTGGGTAAACAAAGTAGTACACTTTACAAAAAAGCAAAAAATCAAAAATGAAAATCTTCCCATCACTGAACAGAACAAAGCATATGGACCATCTGTACTACAACTATGGAAATAAAGCATAAGCTGTGTACAATAATACACCGCTCACAAAAATGAAAGGAACACTTTTTAATCAGAGTATAGCATCAAGTCAGTTAAACTCCTGGGATCTTGGTTAGTTAGGTAGCAGATGGGGTTGTTAGTCAGTTTCAGCTGATTTGGTGAAATTAACAACAGGGTCAGTAGAGGAGCTAGGCTAGAGAATCTTTTCCCCTCGTAGTCTTTTATCTGACTGTTTTTCACTTGTTTTGCATTTGGCCAGGTTCTGTGTCACTACTGGTAACATGAAGCCATACCTGGACCCTACAGAGGTCCACTGGCAATCCAATTCCAGATGGCTTGGTGTGTCTCCTAGTACGGTGTCAATGCATGGAGGAGATTCTAGGAGACAGAAAGTTACCCCAGATGCTATCCAGTTACTAATCAGCAGGACCAGTATCTGCTCCTTTGTGGAACTGCCAGCGCTGCAAAATGACCTCCAGCAGGCCACTGTCTTTCTCCAAACAATTAGAGACAGGTTTCATGGTGGTGGCCTGAGGGTCTGATATCCTGTAGTGGGACCCGTGTTAACTGCCTGGCACCATGGAGCTCAGTTGTCATTTGCCATAGAATAGCAGAGCTGACTGGCGCCTGGTGCTCTGTGCTTTTTGCAGATGAGAACACATTCCAACCATGAATACATGTGACAGATATGAAAGAGTCTGCAGAACTTGTGGAAAACATTTTGCTGCTGTTACATTCAGCTTGACAAGTTTGGTGGTGAAGGGATGTGCAGACCTTTTCCAGCTAGGCAATGGCACCCTGACTGTCATGAGGTAAAGGGTTTAAAATCCTTGGACCCACTGTCAGACCTGGTGCAGTGGGTCTTGGGTTCCTTCTGGTGCACGGCATTGCCCAGAGTATGCAGGCAGTTCTTGAAGGATCTGGAAATGATCTAGGAACTGATACTACTTACTGGTTCCCAAGCTTGTCTGAACTAAATCCATTAGAACACCTCTGGGATATTATGTCTCGGTCCATCTGATGCTGCCAGGTTGCCCCTCAGATTGTCCAGATCTGGAAGGAGTTCCCCAAGTACACCATACACCACAAACTAAACACACTCTCACTCACTGAAGCACAATTTGCACAATAATTCGATGCAGAACATTGACCACAGATGCTAAAAGTTGAAGCGATAGAAGCCAGAACCCACAAAAACAGAGAGAGACTTAAATTCAACACTAATATGTAGAAACAATATGTGAGACATGTCTGCTTTATATTTTGGTAATCATTGTAATATTGTGAAACAACCACTTGAGATTAAAGGTCCAAGTTCCAGTTCCTGCACCAGTTGTTTTCAATTTTTTTGATGTGGTGTGCTCTGAATGCCCAGTATTTTCTTCATTTGATTGCATGCATGATCAGATAAAACGATGTGGTTTGAAGCACATCAAAACACAGCTGTTTTGATGTGTTTGTGAGATTTTGCAAGAGTGTTTTTGTAAATGTAGGGTGGAAACTTTCAAGAGAAGCAATGGGCTGTGACCTGCCCAGCCTGTCCAGTCCTAAATGGATGGATTCAAAAAACGTTTCTTAGCAATTGCTGAAAATTGTAAATGACTGTTTTCAAACTCAATTTAGCTGGGCCATGGTTGCATTTTCTGCAGTATGCCTTTGCAGACACCAGGTGGCAAACAAGACAACACAATGAGTTTTTAAGGCTTCTTGCATGGTTCTGGGTTTTCAGTAAGTAGTCTCTAAAATGCTCATACATTGGACGTGGTATAAATTGTCTGTAAGTGTGTTTCTGAATTTGTACACCCTATAAAAAGCACGAAAGAATTGTTTATGTTATAACCGTACTACTTTTTCTTACTTAGTCAGCTAAGAAAAGTTCGTAATAATTTTATTTTTGGATTTTAAGTGACACCCTCTAAGGCAGAGGTGTCAAACATAAGGTCTGGGAGTCCAAAGTTGGCCCGCAAAGACTCTAGTCTAGCCCACTGGATGGCTTTTCCAAAAATGTGATAAAGTGCATAAAATTTCAGACTTATTGCTGTATTTCCACAAGTTTTACAGCTGGTCCTACTGATAAAGATTACCATCACTACCATTGCCATTCATGTTGTCTGTACCTCAGACAACTGGACGTAGCACTATAAGCTCTATTTATTTCCTTGTTTTTAGCATTTTGCCTAATCGTACAGCCCATCCAAGAAGCAGATGTGGATTGTCAGGTGATCATACAGGTATATACTTAGAAACAAAGGGTGCAAAACCAAGAGTTTTGCACCCTTTGTTCCATCTAATATCTCATCTCATTCAAATGTGGCTTCCAAAAAAACAGACAAAGAAAAAAACGAAGAAAAAAAACGATCTATATACAGTATATAGAAGTGTGAACCTAACATACTGAATCATTACCTGATGTGTCGGAATTTTATGTTTTCCTTTACATAACGATATTTCCATTACGAATAAATGCAGAAAAGTCACATATTTGTTAAGAAAACTTTACAAGAATTCAGGAAGTAAGTTAAAAGTTTCCCAGGGAAGTCCTCCAGATCCCCTCACTTAATGTGTCCTCCTCGAAAACCTCAAATTAAACCTACAAACTATTTAAGAAAACATGTTTCTCACTTTGTTTGTTTTTTAAATGACACCACATGTCTTTTCAGTGTTGTGAAACAGATAGAGTTACATCCGGATTAAAAATGCTCTATTTGTCTTTTCTTTAATACGAGCCAGATGTTACCTCCAGCCCCGGCCTGCTGTCACTCACCCCGCCTTTGACCAATCACAGTGGGCATAAACTCCTCCTTCCCTCCCCGTGGAGTTTGCGGGGGCTCGGTGGAGAGGAGGAGTGAGTAAAGATCTCTTTCTGAGTCCAGCTGTGCTTCTCTCCTGCTGCTCCCTCTCATAGCGCAGCGCTGCTCGATCACTCAGGCTGTGCAATGGAGAGATGGGCGATGCTGGCCGCGTGCGTGTTGCTGTGCTGCAGCTGCACTATGGTTACTGCCATCCAGAGGGCTGACATGTTTCCTTACGGCACTTTAAATGGAGATTCGGTGTTGAGAGAGGGCGACGATGAGACGTCCAAAGTGCTGTCCCTTCCCAGACCCTTGTACTTCTTCAGCTCCCCTTTCTCCCAGCTATATGTAAGTACGACTTCATTACTATTCATTTGCACTCAGTCGAGGTTGTCTATTTTGTGAGCGCCTAAAAAGATTCGCTGAAGTTCCCGCTTCACGTGTCTCGGGTGATATTTGCAGCTGTTGAATAATCTGCGCAGGAGAGTTGTGCTGCTGTTTCCCCTCTGCTAAATGGAGCGATTCATTCACGGCTGAATAAAAAAAAAGAGATGGACAGCAGAGGAGATTGGGTTTATTATCACGTGTACTCTTTTTTTCATGAAGGACCAATGTTTGAATAGGATTTCAACAAACTGCGCTCCTAATATTTAAATCCAAATCTTTCAGCAACTTCACTTTTATATTCAGCAGATGTCAACAGATGCAAATGAATTAACTCTTTTTCTTTTACCATAACTGCTGTAGGAGCATCCGGTATAAGTAAAAGTGTTGCTCAGTCAAATGTACTTAATGCTTTAAAAGTAAAAGTAATTATTGCCCAGAGTGCCTCCTGTCAGAGCCTGCAAAGTAGCCATGCTGCAAAGTAGGAGTGAACCAATGGGTTCAAAGGAAAAAAGCCACTTAAAGCTTCTACTTAACAATTTTCTAACTGGCTATTATTTGATAGCTTGCAGATCTGGGAAAATAACTCAAAATATAACCAAGAAATAAATGATGTTGTATTGTTCTTGTTTGAGATCAACAACGTTTCTTAGATCCAAAGAAAGTGGTAAACTGTTATTATCCTCACTTAAAACTTGAACTAAGTCTCAGCAATGCACTTCTACAACACCATGGGCTGGTATGTGATAAATAGAGATTATGTTGAACTGTGACTCATGCTATCCAAGGAGAATCAAAGATTTCAGGATAGATAGATAGATAGATAGATAGATAGATAGATAGATAGATAGATAGATAGATAGATAGATAGATAGATAGATAGATAGGTTTAAGTGGTAGCAACATTGCACTGATTAATACTGTCACATGTGAGAATGCTCGTTATGCAACATGGCCACTTTAATAATCAGGAATACCAATATTAATGCTTTGATGTGTACATCACTTTAACACAGCAGCTGGGTGGGGCTTCTGTGCTCACAGTCAAAGGTTTGGGCTCTCAATGACCATATTAGGGATAGTCCCTCTGACTGATGTCATACAGAGCCAAGAGTAGAAAAAACTGATCTTTTGACTCACGAGGATCTATCTACAGCCTTGTAAAAATCTCCTTCTAAGATGTTGTGAAATAGCATCAAATGGAAATATTGAATTGCTTGAGTACAGCTGTGGCTGCATGTGGTCAGAACTTTTCTAAATCTTGATCAGAAAAATTTAGGAGGGCACCCCGAGGTTGTTCCAGTGGTTTTTGAGGAAAATAGGGGTTCATTATGTGGTTCCTGGAGTCCATGAAGGGGTTCTAGTGGTTTACAAGGGTGAATGGGTTCATTAGGAGGTTTGCTGGGTTCGTGATAGTATTCCAAATATTCCAAACTAAAGCTTTCCCTCCCTTTAGGTGGCCACCAATGGCATCATATCAGCCCAGGACTTGCCAATGGAGAAGCAATACGTTGATGACGGATTCCCCACAGACTTCCCTGTGGTGGCTCCATTCCTGGCTGACATTGACACAAGCGGAGGGCGAGGACAGATTTACTACAGGGTGACTGAAATACCCAGTGTGCTCAACAGAGTCGCACAGGTGTGTAATGATTACAGTTTTAGTGTTGAAAACTCATAAGATGCTATAAAACACTAGAGAAAAAAAATACCTGTTGAACTCTAATTAACTACAGATTTGGTTTGTCTCAATCCATCAGCTCAGTGTTTGTCTTTCATTCCCTTATTTCATGTGTCGTCCTTTCCCTTCCTCCCTCATTCGTTCATTCATCTCCTCGCCTAGGAAGTACACCGGGGGTTCCCAGATGCAAATTTCACACCCACACACGCTGTAGTGGCAACGTGGGAAAATGTCCCGGCATACGAAGAACAAACTCGACCCCCTAGCCCTCCAAACAAGGTAAGATGTTTTAAAGGAAGAGACACCAGTAGCTCCAGGGCCTCCCTGTATGGAGGAGTTCTGTTTTATCATCATGTAAACAGCCCACATACCCCACACTAGTATGTTTTGGTTCTTGTGTGACACTTAATCCCAAATTCCTGGCTGTTGTGCATGACTTGTAATCACCCTAAGGTTGGGGAGATTATTTGTAATCCCTCTTCCCCAAATTTGCCTCTTAACCTTTTTAAAGGGTCAAAGATCATCTTTAAGAGTCATCAAAGTGTCCCCCGCCCTCTTTATCCTCTCCAGTTCACACACCAGTAGACACAAACATGTATTGACCATTGTTGCCCTGCGCCACTAATGGTTTTCCTCGTGTTTCACTCTTTAAATCCTTTTTTGTCTTTCCGTTTTGTGTAATCTAGGATAATTGTGCCATTTTTTAAATGCTGTATTTGCCATTTAAAGTATTGGTTGCTGATAGTTCCTGTTTGCTGTGTAACCACGACCGTAATGACAGCTATCGCTAAAGCATGATGATTCTCAGGAATGGTCAATATCAAATCAGTGGAGTCTAAGAATTCCTGCCTCTCGTGCGGGTGCAGAAGCAGTGCAGTCATAATGCAGCTCAGCAGTGACCCTTGCATGAGACCTTTCCTGCCACCTACATGCTCATGTCTTTTAAAGTGTAACAAAGTGTAGTGACACTAGCAGGGTTTAAATTATGGTGTATCCATCAGACATTTGTATCTGTTTTCTTTCATATTAATGTCAATATTAATACTTTCTAAAATCTTGTCCAAGCAAATGATTCACAACTTAAAGAGCTGTATTAAGAAGAGTTAACAGGAGAAGCATTGGTTGCTTTGTTACAGTCCAACTTTGGGAGAGACTCCAAGTAAAGCCAGGCCTACTATTGATCAAACAAACAGCTCCTTGATGTTCTTGGTGTGCAGAATTTGGGGTGAAGAGGAATAAAGGGAGTGGTAGGTTTAAGGAAAAACACCAGGGGATCTTTCTTTCTGTCAGCCCTCCTCGTCTCTGTTTGTTCTTTTTGTTGCTCTCACGGTCTGCTTTCTTTTAGGCTTGTTTCTTCCTCCTTGAATGTTTAAAAAATTATCATAGAGTAGTCTAATGGCTACTGCAACATTAAGCCTCTTAACTGCTTTCTCTGGAGCTGATCGGGATTTACAAGCCCCCAAGTCGACAAGGGCTTTTTCTCCGAGCCCCAAAATTGGAATTTTGTCTTAGCTCAGTTCTTGACAACATGCTAATTAGAGGATGGAGCGTACCTCTTAAAGTACAAGAAGTGACGTGTTTTGCTATTTAAGCGCTCCGTGCTGCTCATCAGATTGGAGTGCTCTCTTAGTTGCTTGAGTGGGTCTCTCTTTAGACTGATAGCATCTTCCTTTGAAGTGATTAGCCAGAGGTGCTGGGTGGTGTGTGTTGAGGGCAGATTGGTTTGTGTGTGACCTGTAGTGTGTGATTGTTGGGGTGGGTACTGGGGGGTGTTGGGATGCTGTTTCAGGGGGAGGCGGCAGAATGTGTGGCGTCTGGACGTCGGCTGTGGAGATGAAATAACAGGAAAACAGAAGACAGAGAATTAAAGCGAAAGAGTGAAGGCTCACACTTCTAATAAGCTGAGCTGTGTTTTCGATGAAATTAGCCTTAGAGATGCTATTATCAAAATTGGACAGAAATTGCTTGACTTAAAATACACACCCATACATCAACTAGCAGGGAGCTCTGTTAGCTAATTACCGCAGTCATTTCGCTAAAGACAGCTTTCAGTGTTTAGATCTTTTAAGAAGTGTTGACTTTACTTTGAGCGATTATCAGTAACACTAAGCAGCCCTAAGTTGGAAAAATATCTCATCCAAAGAAGCACTAGAGTTATCTTGATGTTAAAGGAGCAGGTTGACATTTCACACATACTCACTGTCTTGTCACGAATTAGATAAAAAAGATGACTATCTTAGCTTAACGCAGAGGCCAGATGAAAGGTAAACAGCTAGCCAGGTTCTGCAAGTTACAACAGCTACAGATTCACAAGCTAACTAATTGCATGTTATAACTTGCTTGTTCATCAAAGCAAAACTTGATAACTTCAGTTCCTTGTGTCCTACTGGCATGTTTCATAGCATAAATCAGAAACGCCTGTGTGTCCCTTGAAATGAGCATTCTCTCTGAGGTGATAAGTGAAGGCAAACCGCAGGTTTATCAGTTCATCTGTCAGATGTCTCTATTTATGTTTAATATTAATATATTGTAGGGGTGGGGAAAATGTTGTAATACCGTATAGTATTGCAGTACTTTGCTTGGGGGTATTATATCAATATAGGAACACCAAATATCAATATTTTATCAAATACATTTAAAAAACTCTGGGAATACTACAAGCAAAGTGGCTCATCTCATGCACCACCATCCTGAGATAACGTTAGCAAAGCAAACTTACATTAAATCGTCTATATTAAAACAAAAAACAACAACAAACATTCGACACTGGACACACTCTAATTCAGAGCAAGCTAAGTGCCCGGTCATGCGATTGAAAATAGGACAACAGTCTTTGGACAGACTGCAATTACTCTCAGAGAGAGTCAGAGTTTTGCACATAACTTCTGTCTAATGTATAAATGCAGCAAAAATTTTCTGGCACAACTTCACCTGCTTCCAAGGTGCATGGAGAGGATCAATGAGTTTTTATGAACTACACCTCCTTTTTTTTATCAGTTAAATTACTCTCACATGAGTAATGTTTATTCAATTAATCTTATTATTTTAGCCAAAGAAGAAGTAGCGCTTCAGACATCTCATCTTAAGTCTACAATTCAAGTCTAAATTTTAGATATTTTACATTTTAGAGACATAAATAAGGATCTTTTAACAAATGTGTTCCCATGTGATGATGTAATCTTGTTTTCTAATTCAAACGTGCTTTTACCATTCAAGACCCCCCCCCCTTTTTTTTTTAAACCTGTGTGTATATTTATAGCATCCTCCTTATGCATTTCATGCATGTGTTATTTTCAGACGTATGGGGGTTATGTCACCCCCCCTCCTCCTCATCAGTAATGATCTAGTCCGGTATTTACTTGGGCGTGACTTAGCCAATTAACCAATACCTACCTATTATATGTCAGCTGACCTATCTATGAAGTTTTGACTGGTTAATTTGAATTTTTTTCTGTTTCCTGTCTTGTATTTAAGCAATTTTTACAATGTTTTACTATGACCCTGATGAAGGCCACAAGCCGAAACGCGTTGGTCAATTATTAAAGTTGTTCATCTTCCCTCAAGTGTTGCTGGAGTTCCTGCTTTGTGAATTCTTTCATCCTCTCCATGCACCTTGATCCATTAATGGTCACTAGCTACGGGTGGGGGGGGGGGGGGGATACCAGTACAGGGAGTGCAGAATTATTAGGCAAGTTGTATTTTTGAGGAATAATTTTATTATTGAACAACAACCATGTTCTCAATGAACCCAAAAAACTCATTAATATCAAAGCTGAATGTTTTTGGAAGTAGTTTTTAGTTTGTTTTTAGTTTTAGCTATTTTAGGGGGATATCTGTGTGTGCAGGTGACTATTACTGTGCATAATTATTAGGCAACTTAACAAAAAACAAATATATACCCATTTCAATTATTTATTTTTACCAGTGAAACCAATATAACATCTCCACATTCACAAATATACATTTCTGACATTCAAAAACAAAACAAAAACAAATCAGCGACCAATATAGCCACCTTTCTTTGCAAGGACACTCAAAAGCCTGCCATCCATGGATTCTGTCAGTGTTTTGATCTGTTCACCATCAACATTGCGTGCAGCAGCAACCACAGCCTCCCAGACACTGTTCAGAGAGGTGTACTGTTTTCCCTCCTTGTAAATCTCACATTTGATGATGGACCACAGGTTCTCAATGGGGTTCAGATCAGGTGAACAAGGTGGCCATGTCATTAGTTTTTCTTCTTTTATACCCTTTCTTGCCAGCCACGCTGTGGAGTACTTGGACGCGTGTGATGGAGCATTGTCCTGCATGAAAATCATGTTTTTCTTGAAGGATGCAGACTTCTTCCTGTACCACTGCTTGAAGAAGGTGTCTTCCAGAAACTGGCAGTAGGACTGGGAGTTGAGCTTGACTCCATCCTCAACCCGAAAAGGCCCCACAAGCTCATCTTTGATGATACCAGCCCAAACCAGTACTCCACCTCCACCTTGCTGGCGTCTGAGTCGGACTGGAGCTCTCTGCCCTTTACCAATCCAGCCACGGGCCCATCCATCTGGCCCATCAAGACTCACTCTCATTTCATCAGTCCATAAAACCTTAGAAAAACCAGTCTTGAGATATTTCTTGGCCCAGTCTTGACGTTTCAGCTTGTGTGTCTTGTTCAGTGGTGGTCGTCTTTCAGCCTTTCTTACCTTGGCCATGTCTCTGAGTATTGCACACCTTGTGCTTTTGGGCACTCCAGTGATGTTGCAGCTCTGAAATATGGCCAAACTGGTGGCAAGTGGCATCTTGGCAGCTGCACGCTTGACTTTTCTCAGTTCATGGGCAGTTATTTTGCGCCTTGGTTTTTCCACACGCTTCTTGCGACCCTGTTGACTATTTTGAATGAAACGCTTGATTGTTCGATGATCACGCTTCAGAAGCTTTGCAATTTTGAGACTGCTGCATCCCTCTGCAAGATATCTCACTATTTTTGACTTTTCTGAGCCTGTCAAGTCCTTCTTTTGACCCATTTTGCCAAAGGAAAGGACGTTGCCTAATAATTATGCACACCTGATATAGGGTGTTGATGTCATTAGACCACACCCCTTCTCATTACAGAGATGCACATCACCTAATATGCTTAATTGGTAGTAGGCTTTCGAGCCTATACAGCTTGGAGTAAGACAACATGCATGAAGAGGATGATGTGGACAAAATACTCATTTGCCCAATAATTCTGCACTCCCTGTGGATGATGATCTCATTTTTATATTCCTACAGAACAGGTGGTTTGCTGA